GTCTTCTACATTTCCCTTTTCAATTGTAGAGGAAAGTGAAGGGGAGGTGGGCTGTGACTGGTTTTGAGGTGTCCACAAACATCATCCCTACTATGCCATCATTTTCCCTCCTGAAGCCACAGATGCCTAGTTTGTGAAATGAGAGGCATCTGGCTAGAAGATCTCCTGGGATGCTCACCACATTGACATTCTCATTTAAACACTGGGTCTCCATTGCCATGAGTGAGCCTCCTCTCTTGCGGCAGCTACTCTCTAGTTGCAGTGCGCGGGCTTCTCATTGCCGTGGCGTCTCGTTGCGGCACACGGGGCTGAGGGGTTGGTGCATGACCCACTGTGGCAACTCTGAAGGTCCTTCCAGCTGCCGAGCTCCCCAAGGGGGTGGGGAAGCCCTCAGTTGAGACTGCACTGCAGCCCGCGTTCTGTCCCTGCCTGACCCGCTTCCCTCCCTCTTCTTCTGCACCTGTTGAACTTCCTACATGCTAGTATCCATCTCAGGATCTGTCCTAGGGAATGTAACTGTGACAATTAAAGATGTTCCTGAAAGATCCTCTTTCAGGAGATGCAGACTGAGGTCCGACCTCATGTCCGATCCTCCACATTGGCTGGAAACCTCACTGGCAGCAAGCATTACTAGGGCTGAGATATTTAGAAGCAACAGCCAAAAAATTAGCCTTAATGAGGAGCTATTTGGAGGTGCTGAGAAAAACATCCAAAAAAAGGAATAGAGATTCCAAGAAAGTGATAGCACCAAGATAAGGTCTTGGCCATCCCCTAATAGAAGATGAAGGACATAAACATATCTGATTAACATGGGCTAATCAAGTCCCTAAGAATCTACATAAATTAGTGTAAGTATCTCAGTTTCTTAATCAAACAGACTTTATTCTTCAATTCCACCTCCATTATGTAAGACACTATAACCCTGACTAGGTTACTGTCCTCTATGTGACAAAGTTTCTTCATCTCTGGAGGATGGGGATGGGGGTCAGTGAAAAAACATATAGCCACAGCTCTTCATGTTGGTGCTTCCATGAATGTGATCAAGGGGAGTTTGGCTGCCTTTTTTTTTTTCCCGCCAGGAGAGTTGGTAAAAAAAATGCCTATGTTGGAAAGTAAGTTGATCTAAATTAGTACTTTTCAAACCCTTTAGGCAGAAGAATTATTTTTCTTTTTTCAAATAATATCTTGCAAATAAAGCAGACAAAAATCAGAATTTTATGAAACATAAATTTTGTAAGTTCAAGTATATAATGCTTAAAAATAATTCAGTGGGATCCAAAGAGACTATTAAGATGAACAGAAAAGTTTGAAATCAAGTTTACAGATGGCAGTTACAGACTTATATGGTTGCAGCACCTAATTTTTTTCTATGGGTTTTTTTGTTTGTTTGCACATGCGTGAAGTTGCTTCAGTCATGCCTGACTCTGCTACCCTATGGACCATAGCCCATCAGGCTCCTCTGTCCATGGGTGGCGATTCTCCAGGCAAGAATACTGGAGTGGGTTGCCATGCCCTCCTCCAGGGCATCTTCCCAACCCAGGGAAAGAACTCAACTCTCTTAAGTCTTTGCATTGGCAGGTGGATTCTTTACCAGTGCGTCAACATTTGTTTGTTTGCACAGCACTGAAAAATCTTGACTCACACAAACAGCTGTAAATGGTATGATAACAGTTTAAAACAACTTGATCTGTAATCTCAGGATATTTCTCAATTGAATTGTGTTGATGGGAGACTTTTATTCTAAGGTCTGTAGAAAACCAAAATAATATGTCTAAGTTCATATACTGATGGCTTTTCATACGTTAAAACTCAACATATACTATTTTTTGAATGTAAGCATTATTCCTTACTATATTTTAAAAAATTAATTTTTCAATTAAATTAATTAGAGAATGAAAATAGAATCAAACATTTTTGGAAGCCCTGGAACAGAATTTGAAAACTACAAGGTTTGAGGGAGTCTCTATGCTTATTCCAAATGTTTGAATCTATGATTATTCTTCTGCCGTTGGCTACTTAGCAAATCTGCCAAAACTCTGCTGTACATTGAGTTTACCCTCTCGTGGCTTCTAAGGGAAGCCTGGGAAGTTGTAAAGTACTCACTGCCTGGCACAGCTCTAGTGCTCTGCACAGAGCTGTTGTCATGAACACCACATTGTTGTCACCAAGGATGCCCATCAACTAAGCAACTAATAGCAACTCTGTAGTACAGAGTTTGATGGGAGACAGAAGTCAGTGTGTTGGTCAAGGTGGTAGCTACTCAGTTTAGAGCTCAAATAATATCACAGGAGACTATAAGAAAACCACTGAGATGGAGAATGGAGGCTTACAGCCCAGGCAGATGAATTAAGCAGATGGCACTCAGTATAATTCTCTCACATGGTATACACAATCTCAATACCAGTTACAGATGCAAAACAATCACTCCAAAAGTGAATGAAATCTCTGTCTACTTTTATAACTCTCATTTCTTTAATACCTATTGCTATGTTATGCAAAAAGGAGGCACACAATTTGGTGCTGTTCAGTCACTAAGTCATGTCCAACTCTTTGCGACTCCATGAACTACAGCACTCCAGACTTCCCTGTCCTTCACTATCTCCCTGAGTTTGCTCAAACTCATGTCCATTGAGTCAGTGATGCTCTCCAACCACCTCATCCTCTGTCATCCCCTTCTCCTCTGCCCTCATTCTTTCCCAGCATGAGGGTCTTTTCCAATGAGTAGGTTCTTCACATCAGCTGGCCAAAGTATTGGAGCTTCAGCATCAGTCCTTCCAATGAATATTCAGGGTTGATTTCCTTCAGGATGGACTGGTTGGATCTCCTTGCAGTCCAAGGGACTCTCAAGAGTCTTCTCCAACACCACAGCTCAAAAGCATCAATTCTTCGGTGCTCAGCCTTCTTTATGGTCCAACTCTCACATCCATACATGACTACTGGAAAAACTATAGTTTTGTCTATACAGAACTTTGTCAGCAAAGTGATGTCTCTTCACACAATCATTGCTTATAAACCAATGAAAAGTAAAGCTGAACCAAATCTTTTTATTCTAAATCTGGCTACTTGAACCATCAGAGTCCAGCAGACACAAATCCAACCCTGAATCTGGCAGGTGTGGGGACTCCAAACTGAGCACTTGTCACAACACTGAGGCAGCTATGCCATTTTAGTTCTGCTCATTCAGGGTCTCTAGTACTACTGACGCAACTAGTTCCAACAAAGCAGAATTTCCAATATATAGGTAGTACCAACTGGCTATACCTTTCATTACTATTTTTTTTTTTGCACCCACATGAGTATATACAAGAGCTTTTCTGTATTCAGGTGCTTAGATCAGGAAGTAAAATTGCACCAAAAACCAAATGACTCACTCCGCTAGAGCATGAATGACACTAAACAGTGGGAGACAAGGAGCAGATGTCACCCATGACAACCAACAGCCATCAGGGTATTTTGGAGACACAAAGTAGGAAAAGCACTTTTTTTCAAAAGCAATTGACTGTATCATTTTCCTAACAGTGCAAATATGTAATTTTCATTCATTGGCCGACACCTGGGAATCCTCTTGTGTTCTATTATACTGGATTTCAGAAACTTAACAATCCCACACAAAAGAGATGCGGTTACTTTTCACAATGTTGTTTCAAATTTCCTTAATTCAGGAACATCTTTTCTTTCATTCTCTACTGGAATAACAATGAAGAGCACAGATCCTCTTTGCTACTATAGTTTAAGGTCAATGATTCTTCCTCATTTTCAGAAGAAAATGTGTCACTGGTGCTGATTCAGGAGAAACACTGCCAAGGCTGCTGCTCCATTATCCAACTTCACTATGCCCTCATCCTCCGATGTGCATCCTTCAGATGCTTGACTTTACATTTTACCCTTATGTGACACTAGTGGTAAAGAACCTGTCTGCCAGACAGGTACTGCATCACAGTACCCTGACAGATAAATGCTTTCTCATAATGGCTGTGGCCCTCGACCTGGACATAAGAGACACTGGTTTGACCCCCTGGAGGAGGGCATGACAACCCACTCCAGTATTCTTGTCTGGAGAATCCCATGGACAGAGAAATCTGGCAGGCTATAGTCCATAGGGTTGCAAAGGGTCAGACATGACTAAAGTGACTTAGCACACATGCATGTTGTCCCATAGATACAAAATGTTGATTTCTGGCCCAGAGATGGCTCTCACTCATTTGCGATCAAGTTACTCATTCATTTTCTTTTTTTTTTATTCTGCATTTTTTAAATTTTAATCAGAGGCTAATTACTTTACAATATTGTGGTGGTTTTTGCTATACATTGACATGAATCAGCCAAGGGTGTACATGTGTTCCCCATCCTGACCCTACCTCCTACCTACCTCCCCATCCCATCCCTCAGGGTCATCCCAGTGCACCAGCCCTGAGCACCCCGCCTCATGCATCGAACCTGGACTGGTGCTCTATTTCACATTTTCTACCATCTTGTCTTGCCTTGTGCTTTTCTCCCCTTACTGGGAATTGCTGACTCTACTTTGAATGCCTTCCCCTTCCTTATTGCAGAAGAGAGACAACACATGCTTAAGAATTGTCAACTGCTTCCTTGGAAGACTTTCTTGAAATTACTCCACACCCATAATGACCTTCTTTTCTGAGTTTCTGTTAAAACTATATTCAGTTCCACATACTCATCAATAAGCACTTCCAGCAGTGATTAGTTTCCAACAAGCCCACATATTGCTTAGTTGTACCTCAACTGTTTTGAAGTGAGTCATCATGTTTGATGAAATTCTCTTCTAACTCTCACAGAGCTTGGCAGGGAGTTGGAATATTCACCTTCAACATTTACTGATTCACTTAACCTGGTCAGTGTCTCCACCTCTTAAAATATAAAGTTCTTGATGGCACAAGTCTCTTTTTTTCTCTGTACTGCATCACAGTACCCTGGCAGATAAATGCTTTCTGATAATGGCTGTGGCCCTCGATCTGGAATATTCCATTATAGCTCCTTACCTGGATTAAAAACCGGAAACCAGTGGTAGAATTCATTCCTATAGGGAACAGTGTCAAACTCACTGCACTGCATCTGCCGAAAAGTGGGTGTATCTGGGCGACAGGGGTGGATGTTGCACAAGCGATAGCGTTTTCTTTCTCCAGTGCAGTACTTCCCTCCGAACTTTGGTCTACACACGAAACACACAAATTGTTCTTTAATTTCCTTAACAGCCAGTATTTTATATTAAAAATGCTCTGTCCCCTCTCCCCCCATCTCCATTTCTGTCTTTCCTCTTTTTCCTACTGTACACATTCTTCTCTGGCTAACTTTTATGAATACCTTCATTATTTTAGTTTCCTGTTGAAAACCCTTTAATGGCACCCTGTGACCACAGGACACAGTCCAGCCTCTTAAGCATGATGGCATGCAAGGCCATCATGATCCTGACTTACCTCACCTGATCACATTTTCTTCCCACATTCCTTCTCATTTGCACACTGCTTCCATGATACCAACCGACTTGTTTGCTTTTTCCCCCACCCTGTGCTTCTAGATTTCCACTCTTCTCTAAATGTCTACATACTGCCCATCCTTTAAAGACAGATACATGTTATTTCCATCTCCATCATGAATTTTATCTGAATTCCTGCCAGAAGTCATCTCTTTCACCTCTGGATAACATTTCATTATCCAGTTGGAGGCACTTTCTGCACTTATCACACCCAAAGGTAATTCTTTGACCAGGGCAGTTCACATTCACCAACTTCCTGTGGTCAGGACTAAGCATTGTACTTCATAGTTGAGGGTAGGCTGGTGGTTTCCTATTTGTGATGATGAAGTGATACTCTATGACTTGGCAGCTCTCCAATTCATTTCCATCTAAGAGCCTTTTATGAGCCAAGCCCTGCTAGGTTCTCACTAGACAGCTGACCAATATAAATCAAGGATATAGTGTCAGCATAGGCTGGTCAGGCACTGACCTGAATCTGTGACTGTATTTTTATTGACCTTCTTTTCAATGAACTTAAGCAAACCAGCTACTGAGATCAGATATGATCACTCTATGGAGTCACCCAAGGAGACTCTATGACAAAGTGTAGCCTCTAAGATGGGAGTTAAGACCAGTTTTTCCCCTCAAGTCAAGTTAGGGGATCATCTTTCATTTCCTCAACAGGAATGTCCCTTTTCTGACAACCATGGATTGCTGACCATCCTCCCAAGAAGGCTAAGGTCTGGCAGTAGCTGATACACAATACTACCACAGATCCTGGAGCAAATTGCCTGTATTTCTTGATTACAAAAATGGAAATAGTTTTTCTGATCACATTGAAACAAACTGTAAAATAAAGATTTTATGTAAAAAAATTCTATAAGAAATTCTTGATTTTGAATTTTTGAAGCCACAGGAACCTTGTGTTTTAACAAAAAGTAAGATTTTTAAACAATTTTGCCCAAATCCCTCAAATGTACACTTACTTATAGGCATGGGAAATGATAAAGATGTCACAGTAACTACCATTTACTGACAAATTTATGTAGTAGTTAGTGTGTTGAGTTATTCATAGATATTAACTTATTAACCTTTAGGAGAAATTACATATATAATTACATATACAGTTTATATGTGTATATATACATGCATATATATATATGTATATATATACACACACACACAGAGTAATATATTTATAATAAAAAGGAGGTAACATTTAGAACTGAGATACTGATGGAATTGTTTTAGTATGTATCATTTGCCTTTTAAAATATGTGATTCTTACTGTTCAACACAGACTAATGTAAATTTAGATAAAAGAAATTTAAAACATTTTCTACTTATAGAAGTCATCATATGCACACTGCTAAAAAATTATACTTAGGAACTAGTATACCAGCAAATAATGAAATTAAGAATGTTATATATTTGTAAATCAAGAAAACAGTATTTCACATAAAATATCACTATACAAACTTAAAATATCAAAAAATTAAGCAACTTGATTAAAAAATTGGAAGCAAAAAAAAAGCAAAAAAAAAAATTGAAAGCAACTTGTGAAATAACTTCTATGAAATCCTTAACAAGCTAATACAGAACTCTGAGGTTTACAAAATTCTTATCCAAAACATTAAAAATAATCATCCTCAAAAAATCTGCCAACCAATTTGACACATAATTGGTTACCCAAGAGAAGAAAACTTTTTATAAAATTATACATTCATTATGATGGAAAGAAAGCTGTGTCTTATCAGTAAAATTGGGTATGATAATCCTCACTGATAGAATGGGGTTATTTAAGAGGACTTAATTGTATAATCTTCTAGAGACTTTCACATGGATTGCACTTTTAAAAATGTTTTGCTTATTTCTCTAAATGATGAGATCAGTTTAGTTACCCAAGTTCGAATCCAGTACCAAGCCAAAATGAGACAAAGCAAAAACTTTGTTTCAGAAAAAAAAAAGCAGAATTTTTTTCTTCCCTATGAATCTTCCTTCTGGCTCTCTTTTTCTTTGGGAACCTACTTAGTTTCCTTGGAGAGCCCTGGGGTCACTGACATCACCCCATTCACAACTGGTCTCCCAGTGCTCAAGGAAGGAAGAAAAACATCTTTGACTTGACTTACTCAGGGTTGTTGCAGAGCCTCTCTGCACTCTGGGCTCCGGCCCCACAGGTCCTGGAACAGTGGGACCAGGACGACCAGCGGCCCCAGCCTCCAGGAATGCTCTCTGGTTTTTTGCCCACTGTGATACACTTGCCAGCCATACACCACTGAAAAGGGAAGAGACAGGAGATGCGTATGTCAGAAAGGTTTCATAACAAGCTGACTCAGGAACTCTAGCAGCCTGAACCCAGTTCTTCCTGATCAAGCAGACTTCCTACAGTCACACATCAGATGTAGAACAAAGAGCATCTCATAAAGGAATTTCCCCCGAGAGTCTTGGGTTTTAGAATCAGAGAATTTCAGGAATTAAAGGGAATGTTATGTGCCTAGTTGCAGTGAAAGGAGTATGACTCAAAGTGTGACTGGCAGACTTGCATGCCAGAAAGTTAGCTTCCTTTATTAAGAAAACCTTGTTATGGAAAGCATGTCAGCTGACTGTGCTTAGTAACATAGCTGTCCAATAATATAATTGATTTACTTTCTGATGCAAGCTTCTTATCTTGTTGAGAACCATAACAAACATTTTGTAGACTGGAACTGTGATAGCACTCCTTTTTAGCCTCTATGGGTATTTAATGTTTGCAACAGATAACTCATCCCCTCTGTAAAAAATCTCATTGCTGAAAAACCCAAGTTGTTACAGAAGTTTAAGTTCTTTCTAATAAGAAAAATTTCTGCTCTCCTGTAACTCTTTGCATTGTTTCCAGTTCTGACATTTCAAGTGGCTCAGGAAAAATTCCACTCTCTCCCCCTTCAAGAGACTCCTTCAACAACTATCAGTTTAGGAGGGTGAACATACAAAAAGAGAAACAAGAAATGCAAGCTGGTTGTTAGAAATGGCCACATTTCACAGTGGATCTGGGTGTGTTTCATCTGCTTGCCTCCTCTTCCTCATTATTTCTGGTGACTGTGGATCTTGATCAAGCTCTATGATCTCAATGATGAGTCACGACATACTCAAGCTACATGAAGACACCCACTAAAGACATAAATCCTAGGCCCACACAAACCCAAATTGTGCTCTTGAACAACACGTATTACCCTGTCTTCAGGCAGTCTGGTCACCTAACATCTCTGAGTTCTTGGGTAGCTGGTTTCCTGCTTAGTAAGGTGGGTAGGACTTTAAGAAATGCAATCAGATCAGATGACGAACAGGCTTCCCAGGAGGCTCAGTGGGTAAGGAACTCACCTGCCACTGCAGGAGATGCAAGTTTGATCCCTGGGTCAGAAAGATCTCCTGGAGGAGGGCATAGCAACTCACTCCAATATTCTTGCCTGGAGAATCCCATAGACAGAGGAGCCTCATGGGCTACAGTCCATGGGGTCGCAAAGAGTCAGACATAACTGAAGCAACTGAACACACACGCTTGCAGATGATGAGCAAGAAGATAACATATGGTCTGAAATCAGCATCTTTGGAAAAAAGAAGCCACTGACTTGTCCTTCCCAATGTTCAATATGAAAGTGAAAGTGTTAGTCGATCAGTCGTGTCCGACACTTTGCGACCCCATGGACTGTAGCCCATTAGGCTCCTCTGTCCACGGAATTTCCCAGACAGGAATACTGGAGTGGGCTGCCATTCCCTTCTTCAGAGGATCTTCCAGACCCAGGGATCGAACCTGGGTCTCCCACATTGCAAGCAGATTCTTTACCGCCTGAGCCACCAGGGAAGCCTCAGTGTTCAATACGGAGGGGGAGAAAAGGTTAAAGAGAAGGTTGATGATAAGCTCATTGGATGTTACTGATCACAAACTCCACAAAAGTTTGTCAGGAAAAGGTGGGCCAGATGTTGTGTAATTGGAGTGTGTCTTGGGTTTCAGCCCTCTCGCTCTAATTACCTGTCCCAAGTGAAGGCTCAAGAGGAGTAGTGGAAGTGGAATCCTTTCTAACTGTATGCAGGTCTAACCGTATGATGATCTCCATTCACCCAGAAACAGCTCCTCTCCAGGGTCTCCTCTCCAGCTCTGCCCAAGAATGTAAGTCCCCTATCCCTACCTTCCTTCCTCAGCCTGGCACCCCCCTGACACCTCACCTTCTTCTCTCCACATTGAGTCCCATCTGCAGCAGCGTCCAACTTGGAGCGACAAACGCCCTTCACCGAGCACCACAGTGTCTGGCAAACATTCTGGAAAACAAACATGAGTCTGAGCTTTTTTGTATTTTTCAAAACTTGCACAAAAGCATTTCTACAGTGATGGTGTAATCTACACAGTTTCATCCACAAACCCACAATAAATGCTACGGTTGTAACTGAGTAAACTGATGGAAACTGATCACTCAAGAAACCTCCGTTTAAACTTAATCTGAACATTGTCACTATACATAAACAGTTGGCTGTAGGCCATTCTAGGCCATATGGAAATGGGAGATAAAACACATCTGCCGAGAGTAGAATTTCTATATGTGTGGTATAATGTCCACCATTCAGTGCCCTCAGGAAGGGCTAATGGTGACATTTGTCATCAAAGGAAAATCCAGACTGTGATGGAAGGCAATCTGCTTACAAATAGCTGGGTGGTTATAACTTGAGCCTGCTCATTGAAGGAAAGGGAAACTACTCCATCTAGAAAACCTCAGGTTATTTACTTATTACCCCAAATAGCTAGTATGTTTTAGCTGCCAGGGAGTGAAGTGGATACTCCCTCTCTTTCTCCTCCTACAGCAGGAACAAGGGAAATTCTTGTATATCATCTGAAATGATTCAGGTGCTTCCACCCACCTTTTAGTCTTTCTTTTATCCACCCATCTGCTATCATTCCATCTACTTAGTATACTCTATACTCAATATGTTCTTTCATCATAAGACCTTCTAATTTTTAACCATTTTAGAAAATTCTTAATTTTTATCTTTCTAAATCTTGCTTCTCCATGATTATCTCTATTCTTTTCTTTTGCAATTTCTGCAATTAATAATTATTATTAATGGACCTTCTTATGCTGTCCTTCAGATTTCAGCTTACTTTCATATTTTTTAGCTCTCAATTTCCTTGTACATAAATGTTGAAAAAGCCTGGATTTCTATCAGGAAATGGCCAGTCTCTCCTCCATCACACAATTCTGAGAAAAACTCAAGTGGGATGGGAAGTAATTTTTTCAACTCTAAATTTCAGTTGATTTTCTCTTTAATTCCATCAAGTCTGCTGTGTAACTCATCTACTAAATTTTAAGTCAATCATGATATTTTTCATTTCTAGAGGTTGTAAGTGTTCTTTACATCCAACCAATAATTTAAATGGACCCAGGGATGGCAGTGAAAATTCTCTCCAAAAGAATCTGCCAGCCATCTAAACCATACAGAATAGCCTGACATGAAGCTTCATAACCAAGAGTTTACAATAGAAGCAGAAATTGACAAAAGGAAATAATACATAATAAGTGAAACTGAGAAGAAGTCTCAAATAGGAGAAACAGACACACACAGACTCTGGACATCAAAACTGTCCATTATAATTTGCAATGATAAATTATAAATGTGTCTTATACGATTAAAGAAACAGAAGATTATACTGAAAGTTTAAACTAGAAATTAGAGGTCATAAAAAAATCAGAGAAAATTTAGGGAAAAAATCCAAAGAGACTGTTATAAGTAAAAAAAAAAGTAACATAAATGAGATTAAAAGTCAACAGGTTAAATAGAGGATTGGACCTATTTGAAAAGAGCAATAGTGAGTTTGAAGAGAAAAAGAAAGTATACAAAATGTGAAGATATTAAGAGATGAAAAATATGAAGGAGAGAGTTCAAGATATGAAAGATTAGTGGGGTAAAGTCCAATGTACATGCATTTAGAATTCCAGGTTAGAGAGTGGAGGGTTAAAATAATATTTTAAGAGATAAGCTCAAAGAGAGAGCAAGGATGAATCCTGAAGCTCCCTTTAAGCCATTTAGAGAATCTGAATGTTGTTGGAGAGGCATAGGAGGCCGTGAAATATTTTAACAACAGAGGAACACAATCCGATTTCCTTCATAAATGTCAATTTGGCTATGTTTTGGGGAATAGGTCAGAGTCTTAGAAAGGAGTCCAACCAGGGGACTCACTGAAATCATATAGGGACACATGGATTTTAGAGACCTTTTGGAGGCAGAATTAGCATTGCTTGGTAACCAGTTAGAAGTAAGAGTGAGGGATTTTTACAACAATCTCTTCTCTGTGAAGTCTTGCTTGTTCTGTCTGAGCACAGTTACTTCCTCTTAAAAGTTCTTTCTCTGTGCCTATTTTTGTGTTTATCTGACTATTAAAATCTCCCCGTCAACCTCCCCCACCAGACCAGGAGCTCCTCAAGGTCAGAGAACTTATCTTATTCATTTTTGAGGTTTCATCTTTTTCATACTATTCAGGACATAGCATAAAATCTGGCAGGGGTCAACCAGACTCATTCATGTCTCTGTATAATTAACACTGATACTTTTGCACTAAAAGGAATGGTTCAGGGAATAGACAAGATCCAGATCACAAAGGGATGCAAGGAGTTGATACTTTATCCTGTGGTCAGTGAGGACCCTAACAGCAGAGTAGAGCCATGGTTAGATTTGTGTCTTTTTGAAATAACTTGAGCAACAGTGTGAATGGGGGTGAGGCTAGGTAGAAGGTAATTACAATAGTAAGGAGAGGTGATGATGTAACGAGAAGTAAAGTTGTTGTTCAGTCGCTCAGTCATTTCCGATGCTTTGCGACCCCATGGACTGCAGCACGCCAGGCTTCCCTGTCCTTCACTATCTCCCAGAGCTTGCTCAAACTCATGTCCATCGAGTCAGTGATGCCATCCCACCATCTCATCCTCTGTCATCCCCTTCTCCTCCTGCCCTCAAGCTTTCCCAGCATCAGGGTCTTTTCTAATGAGTCAGCTCTTCTCATCAGGTGGTCAAAGTGCTGGAGTTTCAGCTTCAGCATTAGTCCTTCCAATGAATATTCAGGGTTGATTTTCTTTAGGATTGACTGGCTTGATCTCCTTACAGTCCAAGGGACTCACAAGAGTCTTCTCCAACACCACAATTCCAAAGCATCAATTCTTCAGCACTCAGCCTTCTTTATGATCCAACACTCACATCCATACATGACTACTGGAAAAACCATAGCTCTGACTATATGCACCTTTGTAGGCAAAGTAATGTCTCTACTTTTTAATATTCTGACTATGTTGGTCATAGTTTTTCTTCCAAAGAATAAGCGGTCTTTTAATTTCATGGCTGCAGTCAGCATCTGCAGTGATTTTGAAGCCCAAGAAAATTAAGTCTCTCACTGTTTCCACTGTTACCCCATGTATTGGCCATGAAGTGATGGGACCGTATGCCATCATCTTCATTTTTTGAATGTTGAATTTTAAACCAGCTTTTTCACTCTCCTCTTACACATTCATCAAGAGGCTGTTTAGTTCCTCTTCACTTTCTATCATAAGGCTGGTGTCATATGCATTTGTGAGGTTATTGATATTTCTCCTGGCAATTTTTATTCCAGCTTGTGCTTCATCCAGGCTGGCATTTCACATGATGTACTCTTCATAGAAGTTAAATAAGCAGAGTGACAATACACAGCCTTGATGTACTNCAGTGGCTTACATTTCCTTCTAAATGAGACATTTAGTTTTTCATTCGAGAGAAACTTCTATTTCTCTAGTATTCTCTGTCCTTTAAGATAACTTTATTTCTACTAGGCCCAAGGAGGTAAGAGTTGTCTAAAAGAAAATGCAAATCACAATCCCATACCATTTGCTCAGATGTGATCTAAGAAATATCTATAAGCAGTGGTAAAATGAAAAAAAATTATCATATTACCCCTAATGGAGTATGGTGACGACTTCTGACTTGTCCTAGTCGTTCTTGCCAGTCCCCCAGGGACTTAACTCACTCTTGGATCATAAAGAGCCCCTTTCAGATGACAGCAAGCTGAAGGAGGGTGGGGGGAGACAGAGTGTTCACCTGGCTTAAGCTGGAGGCAGAACCCATCTGGATCTCAGGATCAGAGAGTAGAAGCAAGTTACCTGTTACAGTTACTGTTACCACCCTGACACTGTGACCTATGAGAGGAACTGAGGCTTTTCCAGGTCTTGGGTAGAACGCAAAGTGACCTCCGGTGTACAGAGCCCTGAGTGAGGCTATGCTGAGATGCGCGGTCACTTACTCCAGGAAGCGAGTGATATAGTCCTTGCTACATTTGGACCATGTCAGCGGGGCAGGATTGTACTGCAGCTGGCGGGACATGATGTACAGGTGCCTGCCCACGGGCTCACAGTCGTTTTCCTTCCCATCATGCTGGATGCCAAAGCTGCAGGGAAGCACAGAGCACAAGGATATTAAAGGGGCAGGCACGAAACAAGAAGAAAATCACAGTTCCTCCAAGGTGAAAATAACCCACAGTGAGCCACCTTTGTATAGAAGGCATCTGATTACAAAGTGGGACTTTGAAGTTGGGGGGAGGGGCTAGCTAATTTTCAACTAGAAAGCACAGGAAACATTTTAGGCATGGTTTTGTTTCAAATATACAGCCCTGGGAGTCATGTGGCTAATCCAAAAACTTCCGTTTGGCAGAAAGCTAAAAGCTTCCAGTTTGGCTTTGGCTTTCTATGAGATTACAGTCAGGAGGGCAAATCTTGCCTCCAGCTGTCTTCTTTCTCCTGCTGTAGCAAACACAGCACAAATGAACAAAACCTTCCTTTTGCTTTTTCATCATAATTTACTGGAGAGCATTAAAGGCAAAGCCTATGGGAGACTTTGTCAGAAGCTGCAAGCTTGGAATGGATGGATTTCTTTCCAGTATCATACAAGTCCTTCAATATATAGACATTGGGCAGCACGCACAGTCTAGTGGGCTTCCCAGGTGGCATGAGTGGTGAAGAACCCATTTGCCAATGCAGAAAACGTGAAGAGATGTGGGTTTGATCCCTGGGTTGGGAAGATCCCCTGGAGAAAGGAATGGCAACCCACTCCAGTATTCTTGCCTGGAGAATTCCTTGGATAGAGGAGACTGGAGGGCTACGGTCCACGGGGTCGCAAAGAGTCAGACACGACTGAGCAACTAACACTTTTACTTTACTTCATCATTGTCTAGCTGGCTTATTTTCCTTTTTCAGATGAGAGTTTGAGGTTTGTCAAAAGTCACAAGCTAGCTCATGACAAAACTAAGTGTTCTGCAGATCTCTGTGCTCCTAAATCAGGGCTCTTGTCGTCTCCTTCGGTAGGCTCCCTGACCTCCCACTGCCAGGGGTAAACAGGTGAAGTAGCTGTGAAAGGCCCTAAAATGCTTAACTGACCCCCATGGCAAGGGGGTGCCTGGGAAAGAGGCTGACTGAGAAATGTCTGTTTATAAGCCAAGACCTCAGGATCACTGCCAAGATGCTTTCTGAATCCCCATAAAACCTCTCTCTGCTGGAATCTGCTTTCTGGACACTGGCAACCTGGAGATGTTGGCTCAACTTTCCAAATTTGAACAGAGGAAACTATGACCTTTTACCCTGCTAGTGAAATGCAATTCCTCTGACAGGAAAGCTCATATCCAACTTTAATAAGATCTCCTGATCAACATTAGCAACACTTGCAGAAACAATCTTTATGGGATTTAGAAATATTCTTGTATTATTTTTTATGCATTAAGATATTATCAACTTACTTACAGACTCTGATCATATTCCACATGAATACAAAATTCACAAAGGAGTCACAGAATTAATCTACAAAGCTCTTTTATCACCCCACCAAAAAGAATTTAATTCAATGAAAGTTTTTTTTTTTTCTCCTATCAAGCCTTCCCCAGGCTGTTGAAAATCCAGTCCTACCCTGTTCATTAAGTAATCCACAAGTTCACCTGTTTAAAAATAAGGAAAAATCTTAAACAAACATGGTTCTAAAAGTCTCCATTAATAATGGCTTTTCTAGCATCAGCCATTCCAATATGACAAGCCAGATGTCTGGATCTTATATACTTTATGTTAGTCACTCAGTCGTGTCCAACTCTTTGCAATCCCATGGAGGGATTTCCCAGGCAAGAATACTGGAGTGGGTTGCCACTTCCTTCTCCAGAGGATCTTCCTGACCCAGGGATCGAACCCAGGTCTCCTGCATTGCAGGCAGATCCTTTACCACTGAGCCACCAGGGAAGCCTATCCTAGATACTGGGTGACTTCAAACCTACCCTCTGCATACATCAGCTCATGTTGCTCCATCTAAAGTTGTTAGTTCCCTAAAGCATTCCCCTCTCCAGCTCTATCGCTCCTCTGTGCTCCCATCCAACAAAAGAAAAGCAAAGCTACTAAACAAAGGTTCCTGTGGACATGCCTACTCTCTCTATATGAGGGGAGCGCTCGAGTCATATGGGGTCAGTGGGTCAGTGAAAAATGAGAGACAGGAAAAATACATGAGGTCAGAGGGATGGAAGGAGTTTCCAAGAAGCTACTTCCCAGCAAGTGGGATGAACTTCAAAAGCAGTTTGGACTAACAGCCTACTACAGGCTGAAACAACTCACCGGCTCTTATAGTAGCCTGCTCTACTACATCTTGGTTTTACAATTCCTGCTAGATGGTTTTATGAAAATTACAGACATGAAATAGCAAGCTAAGTCACTGCCTGAGTCTTAGGGTATCACTCGGTCAGACATTTCTTGCCTTTTACTATTCATTTTATGGTGGAGTAGAACCATCAGAGAAAAAGAACCATGAAAGTATGAATGTGAGCTTTTCTAACTCATTCAAGAAATACCAGTTTGGCATATGCAACAAGGAAAGCTCTATAGGTGAAATAAATAGAATATCCCAATCCAGAAGAATGGGAAATACTGGATGGATGTTGCATTGCAAGTGTTCATCTCTATCATGATATTTTCATTACTTCAAGGGAAAGGATGCTAGGTCTCAGAGAGGTTTTTAAATTTCCTTCTAGAATTCCATCTTCATTTTGGTAATTCACCTATTAAGGGATGAGAACTTAGGTATGGATGATGGATATAATCTAGGCTTCTCATAAATGGAACTTAAAAAATTTTTTTTCCTCAAAATAAAAATGCAATTATTCAGGCCAAAGCACAAGTTAGTTAACTTCACTTTCTATTTTAAATCCTATGCAATCAGTGAAGAAATAAACAAGTTTTCAAGAACAATGGAGTATCTTTGTTATTAAACTATAATGACTATCTGAGGTTAGTGGCTTATTATATTTTTCTTTTTCTGGCACCAGGCTGTTTCATTGATGTGCCTAGTGTTTCTCAGTTTGGTCCACAGCTAGTTAGAACTTCAATATCTAAAAAGAGAACTGAATATTTCAGAAGCATCTTGTGCTATGAACAAATTTCTCAGGGTACTCCTAATGTCTTCTCTTCTTGTTTTGTGTCTTACCGAAGTATTTTTTTTGTCACTCAAATTCAAGCTTATATGTCTTTCTTTCCTCTTCTTTTTTTGTTTTCAGTCACGCCACTTGGCTTGCAGAATCTTAGTTCTCTGATTAGGGAGTGAACCTGAGCCCCCAACAGTAGAAGTGCAGAGCCCCAACCACTGAACCACCAGGAAATTCCCCAATTTTGTCTCTCCTATCAGTGACCCTAAACTTTTTTTGCCATTTAAAACAAAGTGTTTTATTTAGGTCAGCTGTATATGGCCTAATGCCCTCTTTTAAAATTTTAATTCATTATATTGACATATTAAATTTATATTATTATATCATTATTGATTCAGATGCAAGTTGTAATAAATAATACAAAGAGGTCCCATGTACCCTTTACCCACTTAACCCTCATGGTAACATCTTGCAAAACTATAATACGATATCACAGCTGGGATGCTGCTGTTGATATAGTCAAGACACAGAACATTTTCACCTGGTGGAATTCCTCATGTTGCACTTTGTAGCCAGACCTACTTTCCATCCCTCCCCCATCCCCTTCTTAAGCTCTGGCAGCCACTAATATGTTCTCTATTTAGATGATTTTATTATTTCAATAATGCTATGTAAGTGGAATCTTACAGTATGTAACCTTTAGGGACTAGTGTTTTTCACAGAGCATAATTGTTCAAAGATTCATCAAGGTCACTGTATGTATCAATAATTGGTCCTTTTTATTGCTGAGTAGAATTCCATGATATGGATCCATCACAGTTTATTTAACCATTTACCACACTGAGTTGAAACAACCCTAGGTTTGCTACCAGTTTGGGGCTATTAAGATTAAGTTTCTATAAACTTTCATGTATAGGTTTTTTTCATATGAACATACATCTTCATTTCTTCTTGATAAATGCCCAGAGTACAACTGTTGGATCATAAGTAGTATCAGTTTACTTTTTAAAAACTGCCAAAATGAATTGAGGATAAAGGATCCATTCTTTGGACACAAGTCAGCACTTGAGAATGTCTTTTATCAAGCAAGTCTTCTCCACTTTTCTTCAACTTGGGCATACCATTGCTGAGAATGTCTTGAGCAAACATTTCTCAGTTTGATCCAGTTATATTGCTTGACACTGCTTGATTAGAGGTGCTCCTAACACCAGTGACTTTATTTGAGGCCACAAGGGACAGTCCTTCCATGTACCAGGACTGAGGGTGCCTATACATTTGCACATAAGAATAATTTTCATTTTGCCAAGTTATTATCAACATGCCAACAACTATAGCCTGGTCTTTTCAGTATTTTTTCCTCAATCTTATTTAATTAAAAGCAAGTCACTTAACCTCTCTGTATTTGAGTTTTTTATAATTAAGGATACTACACTATAGCACATTTATCTCCCAGGGCTTTTTAGTAAGGATCAAAGAAATCACAGTACCTAATCAAATCTACTCATTTCAGATATAAGAAAATAAGCACAAAGAAGTGAAGGGAATTCTCTAAGGTCATAATATTGGCTGATGGAAAAGCCAGAATAGCCACTCACATTTCCCAATTCCCAAGCCAATATTCTGGTTTAGTAACTTTAGGTAAAAGGATTTTGAAAAGTTCCAATATTATATGAGAAGAGTGGTGAGAAAGCCCAGGCCAGGGAGGCCAGGCCTTGAATAATCTAGTCAACAGGGCTCTTCCTAATCCCACCTCTTTTTCCGGCTGGACATTCAGAGTATGCCCAGGGTTCTGCTTTCTTTCAGGTTGGTGGCCACATAACAGGTAGGAGTGCTGCTGAGCCATTTATATGACTCCCCACTCTGAGCTTCCACCTAGTATGATGTTCTCTCATTACTGGTTAATAAATACATCAATATATTAAGTTACAAATAAGCTAAGATCTTTTCTCCTGAGAACCTCTGATACTCAAAGAATCCAGAATTCTCAACATTCCTTTACCAAAAATTTCTGAAACCTGCCTTCAATCAATTGATCTAATCAAATCTACACATTTTTGTGACAACTTGGACTTCCTATTAACTGGTGTTTGTTTGACAGTCTTTCCAAGTTTAAAGCAGTTTTCCATTTTTCCTTTTTTTCAGTGTCCCCCTTTAATACACACAAGTACCATGGGGCAAACAATAGTATCTACTTCATAATGTTGTTGAGGGAAGTCAATGACACAATGTGAAATGTCTGGCATAAAGGAAAGGCAAACAATGTTAAGGTTTGTGACTTTTTAGTGATGTTAATAACATCACTATTTCATAAGAACTAAATAGGAATTACTACTCCTGAATTAATCAAGTTAAAGCTTATCTCCTTGTTTCTGCTCGCCTCATTCTAACTCAGAGACTTGCAGAGGTCTCTATGATTCTCTGACGTTGATGATACAAGTGGTCAGGGCAGAGAAGACAGTGGAACCTTGAACTTGTGTCTTTCCCCAATCTTCCCTCCCCTCCCGCTTTACAGATGAGAAAGCAGAGATTTAGGAGGTGATTCTCAAGCCACAAGGCAATCTGATTCTCCTGAAACCCTGATACTGATGCATGATCAGGAGGAGGAGGTCTCAGTTTCCTTGGCCCTTTACCTGTGTCCGAGTTCATGGGCAACTGTGAAAGCCAAGGGGAGTCCAGAGTCTTCATTGATGTTACAACTCCGGTGAGGCTGGCACATTCCTGACAGGTGGGACAGCCCCAGGGTCTCACAGCGGTGATTGACACCCGCACAGAGGTCTTTTCTGAAAGCAGAGAACAGGGATATGGAGGTGCCCCAAGAAACATCTAGAAAAAAAAACCCATCTGGCCATGAATTCACATTCAATATGGTCTGTAAAGCATGATTAAAATTGTTTATAAAAGTCCACATAAATTTTAGGGAGTGATTTTGAATTCACGAGGATTATTCTGATTTTACCACTTCATTATTGAATCTCATTCATACCCACAGAAATATATGAAAATACAGCAAATGTTTTAATTTGAGGTGCTTTTATTCTTAATCTCAGGAAGCCAAATTATATTATTTGACACACAAGAGAAGGATTTGATTGAAAGTTGGAATTAATCGAACTTTTAAACAGGGAAAGGACAACCATCAGTGGTTGAGGTTTTTCAAACATGAAATGCCTTTTTGGCCTTTCTGAAGTATGTGTTCAAAAGGTATCCAAGAACTTTTATTCATTCATGAAAAAGGCAATTGGTCCCATCAGTCTATCCAGAGACCAAATTCATGGTCTCACCGGTCCCACCACCCTAACAATACTGCATATGGGAGGGGAAGGACACACAAAGAAAGACTCCTAGGATCTCACAGGATACAAGGAAGTTAAGTCCCTTGGAGGGAGGTGGGAGGGGGGTTCAGGATGGGGAACACATGTACACCCGTGGCTGATTCATGTCAATGTATGGCAAAATCACTACAATACTGTAAAGTAAGTGGCATCCAATTAAAATGAATACATTTATCAAAAATAAACAAAAAACAAAACAACAACAACAACAACAAAAACCTGTCCATTGAGGGTCTATTAAGTATCCAGCAATAAAGGGGATAAAAGGGGATGACCAAAGGATTGCAGAATATGGGTCTTACAGGTAAGGAGCATAAGCTCCCAAACAAGGGATCAGCTTCACCTCCAACAATCACTGGAGATAGTGTAAGAAAAGACATGCCTTGATATGAATCCAGCAGCCCCATTTCACAAGGTGTGTTCACACCAAATCCACCTTGCACTGAAAGCTCCTCTATAGGGAACTCTGTTGAAGTGGATCTCAGTCTAGTGCTCCAGAGACAAGTTCAGTCCTCTCCTTCCCTCCCTCCCTGTTCCTTCAGAGCAGAGATTCTCCACAGGGGGTGGTTTTGTTCCCTGCACCCTCCTCAGGAACCTTTGGCAATGTCTGGAGACAGTCACGGCTGGCACAACCTAGAGGAGGGTGCCACTGACATCTCATGGATGGAGGCCAGGGATTCTGTTAAACACACTCCAATGCACAGGACAGACCCTCACAGCAAAGAATTAGCCAACCCAAAATGTCAATGGTGTTACTACTGAGAAATCCTGCTTCAGAACTGGAAATTCTCTCTACTGTCTAGGAGCTGGTTGAGGTTCATCTAAACTTGAAACCAGAACTCTGTTGTAAGGAAGAAAAATGATCATCATAAGAAGAAAAGGAGAACAGATATCCTTTGTATTCTTACTGGGTGATAGTATGGCTACTGGGGTCAAACTAACTGGATTTAAGTCCCTGCTATACCTGTTAGAAGCAGTGAGATTTGGGGCAGGTGACATAATTTATAAGACTCAGTTTCTCGATCTGTAAAATAGGAATGATTGATAGTAATGAACTATCAGGGTTGTTGTGAGGATTAAATGGAATGATAATTGTTCTAACAGATGTAGCACTGAACCTGGTTCATGTCAAATACCCCTCAAAAGCCAGCTCTCATTAACTCACTCATTTATTCATGTGAAAATGAGAGGTGAAACTTCTGCTTTCAGAGAAAGAAAAGAGACCCAGCTGAGACACAGCTGCCCACTGGCCAATGCTGGTTTTATGATCCAGGGTTCTTTCCTAGAGCCAGGTCTTACCTAGACTGAAGTCTTCTGTGGGCCATTTTCCTGGGTCCTCATGTTCTCTGGCTGCCTGCTGGCTCCCCAAAGCCTCTGTGCTTAGATTCTACACCCACACCAACCTATTCCCTAGGGAAATTATAATCAACACAGGTGTCACAAGTCCTGATGAACCTAATGTAATAGGTTTATGCCATGGACTTATTTTGGAACATATTTGCAATCAGCCAAAGTTTTGATACTATCATTCAAAAGAGTGATTCTGGGATTGAAGTTTCAGGTTAGGGTAAGACAGGTATTTGGATAAGGTGGGAGCTAATTATCATCTCTTGTAGATATCCAACGTACTCGAATAATCCTGTCAAAGGGACAGAGGACAAGCCAAGCTGTTCAGGGGCAGTGCGTCCTCCCCAGGGACAACAAATAGATACCCAGGGCCTTCCCAATCATAAGGCTGGAGGGCCAGGCTGGAGGGCCTCTTCCACTCTACATCCCTGGATTCAGGATGTCTCTGAGTCTGCATAGGAGTACTCAGTGAAAACTTACCCCTCCCCCCTCGCTAACAACTTCATTTGTCTAGGTTAAGACAGTATCTGTTATATAGTAGATGCTCAAAAGATATCTATTGGATTAATGAGCACACATAGCCTCCCAAGAGCCTGGGTTGATAAGGTAAATTCACTAGGTTTTCACAACTATGAGTCTTAGAAGTGCTGATGGTTCTTATTAGCACATAGGGTCTCTCTGTAGTCAGAACAAACAGTGTCTTCATGAGGGTAAAGGAGACAGAGGTGCAAGCAAATCACTCTGCCTTTTCAGGGAAGGCCCTTCTCCCCATATTCTGTCTTCACCATCAGTCAGAGATGGAAGACTGATTTCTGTAGAGAGAGCTGCAGGTTTTAAAGTTGGAGGAAATTTTTATAAAATAAAATTAAAGGATAAGAAATTCCACAGTGAAGAGTTATAGGAGGCTTTAATGAGGATCTGCAAACAAGCTTACTGATTGTTTATAGAGCTGCACTGAGAAGCCAAGTTTTAATGATGAAATCATCTCTGGGACAGGAACAAGCAGATGCAGTTGATTAACACAGAGACCTGTGCACATTTAGCAAGTTTACTAACTGCTCCCTTACTGGGATGGGAGTCAGGAGGTATCTAGTTCACAGAAGCTGCCTTCTAAATGACCAAGAACAACAGAGAGTAGAAGAATCTCATGGGTTTGAATACCTGGCAACACTTTCAGGTGCCAACCCCCCCACCCATCTTACCGTCCCTGGCTCTGGGGTACCTGGTGAGAAGGACGGCCACATCATGATGGGCAGGGCTGAGGTCGCTCTTGGGATTGATGCTCTTCTGCCACTTGCAGAAGCTGGACAGTGTCTTCTCTGCATGGTGAACTATTTTCAACCCTTGCTGGAGAAAGAAGAGGGAGAGATCGGCATGGGTGAGATTTCTGTGGTCAGGGCCCATCACATTAGGCCCCAAAAGCAGCCAAGTGAGAAGAGCTCTGGGTGGGTGCTCCCCGGACATTTGGCAAGAATCTGGGGAGGCCAACGTACTCCTCTGGGCCACTCTCCTGCTCTAAACACTATTATTTCCATGACTTCCACTAAAAGAACATAAAGATGAGAACTGTAGGATAGAAATGATCACTGGAATAAGTAGACCTTGAAGGAAAACTAAAAATATATTAGCAAAGACCAACATCTGTTTGATGTTCTATTTCTAGTAGTTCTTTGTTTCCAAAGCCAATATAATGCCAAAGAGGTGTTTTCATTTCTAATGCAAAATGAATATATTTTCAACAAAAAGCTCCTTCATTTCATGAGGTATCCTGCAAGGATGAATGGTCTCCATCTTGGTTTGACATCCATGGATGAAGGTCAGAAGGTGACATAATCTCTCCAGGCTTTTAACCACTTAAGATCATTGACTGTCTGACAACAATCAGAATGCTGGAGTAGATGGCCCAGCCCACAACGTCAAGGACTCCTGAGTCATATCCAGCTGGCCCACAGTTACTATTGAAGATCGGAAGAGAGGGCTGGTTCCAAATTAACTGGATGAACACTTGTCAGATGAAGAAGAAAAAAGATAATCATCCTAGAGGGACTACAGCTTAATTTAAATTTTTAAAGGAGAAATTCCTTTCCCCCACCTCATTTCTATGGAGTCTCTATATAGCCATCTCTTGTACAGGGTGGGGTCTATAGGGAGAATGATGACCTACATTGGCCTACTCTAATCTGAGTCTATTACTCTAGGCTGAGCCCAAGAACTTCAGGGTTGTCTCTATATCAAACTATGAGCTTTTTCCTCTATATTCTGTATTTTGAAGAGACATTCAAATTCAACAAGGCCTGAGACTGTTAGAAGCCCTCCAAGGTCCTCCCATCCATACTGATTGACTACCAGAAATCATCTTCTCCTCATGAAAACACAGAAAGGTGGCTCACTGCTCATGCAAACTCACTGAACTCCTAGAGAAAAGAAGTTAAAGAGAAGAAACAGACTTCATGGTTTAATAATCCTCATCATTAGCATCTATTAANCCATCCATACTGATTGACTACCAGAAATCATCTTCTCCTCATGAAAACACAGAAAGGTGGCTCACTGCTCATGCAAACTCACTGAACTCCTAGAGAAAAGAAGTTGAAGAGAAGAAACAGACTTCATGGTTTAATAATCCTCATCATTAGCATCTATTAAAGGAGCTATAGGGGAGGAGGAGAGGTTCTGGGGGACTAGTTGGGCACAGGGGCGTCAGTCTCCTAGTCAAACTGTAGGTTGAGCAGGAACCCTACTGGAAGAAACCTACCATATCTACCTTAAAGAACTGGCCTGGTGGCATGAACTGCAAATGGACAGGAGGAAATGAGGAAGTGAGGGTGAGGGAAGAAGGAAGGGAAAGGAAGAAAGGAAACATATATCGATCTTTATATGCCAGATAGTTGTAGATAAGTTCTCTTTTTAATTTAATTGCACCCTCTTAGTATTATTTATAGGCTTTGCTGGTAGCTCAGCTGGTAAAGAATACTCCTGCAATGCAGGAGACCCGGTTTGATTCCTGGGTCAGGAAGATCCGCTGGAGGAGGGATAGGCTACCCACTCCAGTATTCCTGGGCTTCCCTGGTGGCTCTTCGCTGGTGGCAGCATTATTTATAAAGAAACTATTGCTATTTTCATTTTATAATAAGAGAAAATTAAACCTCAGAGAAGTAAAGAACTGGCAGAAGGTCACTCAGGTCAGTTACTGAATCAAAGACTATGTGGATGAGGCTCCTAGATGGAGCTGTGGTCCTGTTAATAACTGGTGACCAGCCTCGTAAGAATGGTGCCTTACTTCCTCTCCTTCAGACAGGAAGGCAAGCTATAAAACAAACCATCAACTATCTCCAGATTGCTCTGAGCTTTGCTTTAAACTCTACGTTTGCTTTTTTGTTTTGGGGAGAGGAAGGATGTGAAAGACAAACTCATTAATTTAAAAATAATGCCATTTTGCATTATTCCAAAGAAAATGAAACTGGCATAAATCTAACAAAATATGTACAGGATCTGTATCCAGAATATTACAAACTTCTGAGGGATGGCATGAGACTTGATCTAAACTTCACACATTATACAAAAATTTTCTCAAGGTGGATCACAGATTATCCATCCGTAAAATTTTAAAAAGTATATATAAACCTTAAAAAAAATCAGGGGGAAATCTTGGGTCCCAGGGACTAGGCAAAAAAGTTTAGAGACTGGATACTGATAAAGTAATCAAGAAAAGGAAAAACTTAAAAACTGAATCTCATCAAAATGAAAAACTTTTGTTCTGGAAGAAACCTTGTGAAGAGAAAGAACAGAAGAGTTTCAGAGTGAGAGAAAGTATTTGTAAGCCAGATAGCTGTCAAGGTTTTGTCTCTAGAAAGGTCTTGTCTCTAGAAAATGTAAAGGTCTGTCAAACCTCAACAATGAAAGAACAGCTAGAAAACAGGCAAAGGACATGAAGAGACATGTCACTGAAGAGGATATACAGATGGCAAATAAGCACAATAAAAAGATGTTCAACCTTACTCACCATTAGAGAACTGCAAACAAAAACCATAATAAGACGTTGTTTAGTCACTCAGTTGTGTCTGATTCTTTGCAATCCCATGAACTACAGCCCAACAGGCTCCTTTGTCCATGGGATTTTCCTGGCAAGAATACTGGGGTCGATTGCCATTTCCTCCCTTAGGGGATCTTCCTGACCTAGGGATAGAATCTGCGTCTCCAGCATTGGTAAGTGGATTCTTTACCACTGAGCCATCAGGGGAGCCCCTTTCACCCCATTAGGTTTCCTCCAACTTCTCTGTTCTTCTGCTTCAAGGAGCATCATAATTTTCTGAATTAATCAAAAACTTTCTGAAAACTTTTGCTTTCAATTTGCCTTAGCAGCAAAATACCTCTATTGTAAAAGTATCATTAAAAAAAAAAAGTCTCATGTTAAAAAAAAAGAAAGCTTAAGTTTTGAGTATCTTTTAAAAATGAGTACGGGTGTAATCATAACATGGTAGTTTTTAGTGATCAATCCATCTTCTTTTACATAATGGAAACATGCCTTTGGAATTTTCACCATAGACAAAAGGAACAAAAGAAATTGTGGGGGATTTTGAAAATGAAAAAAGAAAAAAAATCTTACAACATATCCTTTTACCAGGTTCTGCAGGAAAACTGGTATTTGAAGAAATCCTTTTTTTTTTTCTTTGTATTTAAGGTAAAATTAGGTACCTAAAGGGGTCACTCAGCCCTGAGAACATGACAGAGGAAAAACTGTCAGGTATAATGAGACATTACTATATGCCTATCAGAATGACTAAAATTTTAAAAAGTGACAGCACCCAAACAATGGTAAGGTCATGATAAAATTGGGTCACTCAAACTGCTGGTGAGAATGTAAAATGTACGGCCTCTATGGAAAACAGTTTGAAGTTTCTTAGAAAACTAAACATGCAACTATCATATGACCCACCAACTGCATTCCTGGACACTTGTCCCAGAGAAATGAAGACTTACGCTCACACAAAAGCCTATAGAGGAATGGTTACAGCAGCTTCATGCATGGTAGCAGAAAACTGGAAAGAATCCAATTGTTCCTCAATGAGTGAATGATTAAATAAACTGTCATGTTCCATGGAATGCTACTTAGGACTAAAAAGGAACAAACTTTCCATACACACAACTTGAATGGATCTCAAGGGAATTACGACCAATGAACAAAATCCAGTCTCAAGAGGTTACATGAAAAAAATCCACTCTCAAGAGTTTACATAGGGTACGGTTCCATTTAGATAACATTCTTGAAATGAAAGAATTAGAGAGATGTAGAACAGGTTAGTGCTTTCCAGGATTTAGGTCAGTAGGCAGAAGGGAGGTATCAAAGGGTAGCATCTTTGTAATGAACTGTTCTGTACTGTGGCAAAGGTTCCAGAAATATACACACATTAAAACTGCATAGAACTAAATGTAAACAGACACAATCAACGTGCATGCTCAGTCACTTCAGTCGTGTCTGACTGTGCGACCCCATGGACTGTAACCTGGGAGGCTCCTCTGTCCAAGGGATTCTCCAGAGAAGAGTACTGGAGTGGATTGCCATTCCCTTCTCCAGGGGATCTTCCCGATCCAGGGATCAAACCCAGGTCTCTTACGTCTGCTGACTAGCAGGTGGGTTCTTTACCACTAGGGTCACCTAAGTGCTTGTAAAACTGGTGAAATCTGAATAAGAGGGGTAGTTTGTATGAATATCAATTTATTGGTTCTGATCTTGTACCAAAGTTGTACAAGATGTTACCCTTGGGGGAAAGTGGGTAAAGGGTATAAGGGATTTCACTGAAATATTTCTTACAATTGTGAATCTACAATTATCTCAAGAAATTTTTAATATCTTAAAAGTAACAATTGGCCCGAACCAAGGCTAAAGGGTTGCATTAGGTCTTATAAAGTGCTTTAAAATATCGGTCTATGTGGGTAACTTACTAATTAATTATATGTGAGTTCTCACAGTTTTGAATCAAAGAGAACCTATAATCTTTCAGATGTGTTACAGTGGGTAGGAAAAGCCCACACACGCACTCTGAAGTTCAGTTAAGCTCCTTATTTAGATAACCATGAATATAAAGGCTTGTTAGAGCCGAAGTGGCCACACAAGCAGAAGCAGATGGAACTCCTCTAAGAATGTTCTCCTCGTGCTCACAGTCACTGGTGGGATACTGCCAGTTTGGAAAAATTCAATTTTTTACTTCAATATTGCCCGTTCGCATTTTGGTTGGGAGCTGGACACAACTTGGTGGCTAAACAACAACAAGTACATTGGTTCAGTTCAGTTCGGTTCAGTCGCTCAGTCGTGGCTGGCTCTTTGTCATCCCATGAGCTGCAGCACG